CACATCTCTTGTAGGCTTTGCTCTTTTCTCTTGTTTCTCTGCTCTATTTCTGTGACTGATTTATTTAGTTGGAGGGTGTTATCTTCAATCTCTGAGATTCTTTCTTCTGTTTGATCTACCCTATTCTTGAGACTTTCCACTGTATTTTGTAGTTCTCTGAATTGATTCTTCATTTCCAGAAATTCGGTTAAACTTTTCTTCATTGTGTCTATTTCTTTAGTGAACTTTTCTTCTAGGTCCTGGAGGCTTTTTGTGGTTTCTTTTTGTTGGTTATTGAGTTGTTGTTGCAGGTCGGTGAGTGTTCTTATGATCCACATACGAAATTCCTCTTCTGTCATTTTGGTTGCCTGATTTGGGTTGGTGTCCGTTTCTAGGAAGCTGGTGCTCCTCTTTGGGGGTGTGTTTTCCATTTGGTTCTTCATATTTCCTGAGTTCCTTCGCTGATTTCTTCCCATGTCGATCAGTTGTTGTTTCCTTCCTTTAGGTTTTTGTTTGGGTATTCACACACCTTGTTTAGTTTCTGAGCCGTTAGGTGGTGTCTGTGGGTGAGATTCGACCACTCCCTGTATAATGAGTCAGTAGGTGCCGTGAAAAGGCTGTGCAGGATGCCGTCCCTGTCAGTAGGTGGCGCTTGGTTGGAGTAACAGGCTATGCTGTTTTTTTGTGTCCTGTTATCAGCTCTTGTTTGGGTGGAGCTGGGTTGGGTAAGCCTGCCCTCAGGCACCACCAATGCCGTTAGCAGGGGTTAAAGTTCTCTTTCTCTGCTTCCAGGAAAGCTGTCAGGGAGGGGCTGGAATGGCCCCGCTCAGCCAGAAAGTCTGCTTGTGGGGGTGGGGCTGTCTGAGACCCGCAGTCTGGAGCGGGCCTCACTTCTTTCCACCCTCCCCAACTCCACATCTCCTGGGCCTCTGCCAGCAGGCCAGATCAGACACCACCAGGCCTCCCCTGGCTGTGATGCCGGCCAGGAGGTTCCCTGTGCAGAAACGCCACCTGGGCTGGGCGTAAAGCCTTCTTTTGGGAGGAGGGTTGCCCTCTAGGACGCTGCTCTGCCCCTGAAGGCACATACACCTCGGTAGCCTGTTCACGTATGTCCCTTCTGTACCCCGGGCAATGCAAGACCTCGGTGCACGGGACCTGGTCTGCAGGTCCGACTTCTGGGTCCCAGAGTTCAAACTGTATACCCACCAGGGAGAGGAATTCGGGTCCCAATTCACCCACAGGGAGTCCAAGCTGGGTCTGTGTCTCTCAGCCTCTGAGTCTGCACTGCTCTCTTGGGAACACCATGCCAGCAGCACCTGGGAGGGCTGGCGGGTAGGGAGCTCACAGTCTGAGTTCCCCTCAGTCAGCTGTAGGGTCCTAAAAGGGAAGGTCCTGTTCCCTGGAGGTGCCTCCGGCTGGTGGCTTTATTGTCTCTCTGGGCAGCCACGGGTAGGGTCGGCGGAGGGGAGAGTGAGGCAATATGGCGCCTGCCGCGTGGCTCGGGTCTGTGCACAGGGAGGTGCCCAGAGGGAGTTGGGAGCCTGATGCCGCATCCGCTACAGGCTCACCGCTAGCTGGCGGTGGCCGTCTCTGGGCTGGTGTCTGCAGGTCTCTCCACCCGCTGGGGAGCCCACCAGCAGTCCCAAATGCAGGGGAGGGTAAATGGCAAATACACCTACCCTTCCCGCTGGTCTCCAGCTGCTCAGGTGGTCTCAGCCTCCAGTTCTCCTCCGCAGCCTCCCCCCGTGGAGTCTCCCGGGGGCTCAGGTATGCCTCCTTCTGGCCCTCGTCCGCTGTATGCTCGTCTTCTTGCTTCTTTTTTCTAATTTCTGCTAGAATCTGTCTTTTCTGCAGAGACACTCTGTCTGGCTGTGTTTCTCGTCTGCCATCTTGATCCTCCCGCTTAAATTGCTTCTTGCTCTCTCTGTGTGCAGAGACTGTGGGTGAGGCCAGTTACTATGAGGACTGATCATCATCTCACAAGAAATGAGCCCATGAACAGAAATTTCAGGAGGCACAAAAGGACACCATGCCGTCCAGAGTAGAAAGGCAACGGCAGCCGGCACTTTGTTTTCTTAGTGTTCACGTGACCCGGGATGTTTCTCTTCTTTATCCCTTAATTAGGCAGGACTTCGGCAAGTGGGGCTTAGGAACGGGATGACACAGGCATGCCAGGAAGAAGGACCCAGATGCACACGCTAGGGCCCGGCAGTGTTCCAGCCCCAGAGAAGTTCTGTGTGCATACAAGTTATTTTTACCAGACAAGAAGCGAAGGGTGCACGTGTACCTGTCACAAGGAAGGGCAGGTTGCAGCTCACGGTGAAGTAGGAAACCGAGTTAGGTTGCCTGAAGCTGTTTCCTAGGGGAGGGGAGGTCCACACAGCTCTGCAAATGAGAGCATTGATTCGAGTATGGATGGTAAATGGCAGTGAGGACATGGTCCCCTTTGTCCCCAGAGAGTTCCTTTTCTGCAAATCATGCTGCCTCTCTGTACTTGAATTTGGAACGTTTGGGCTTGTATTGACATCAGGGCCTGTGTTAAATCTACATTTTTTTTTATGAACTAGAAATAAGATCATAGTTGTTCTCTGACAACTAGTTGTCGTATAGGGGAGTTGGTTTATTTGATTATTAACTGATATGTGAAACTTAACATTTTCTTCCTCTACACACTGATTTCATAATTCCAAATTGCCGTGGTGTTTTCTGGTTGTACTAAGCTAAAAACCATGCATTCTTTCGCAGAGATCCCCCTAATGGAAGAAAGTCCCTAACGGGGCGAAATCATGGTGGTTCTGCTGCTCCTGTGGGAAGAGACGTAGTAGCTCGAGGGAGGCCACAGAAGGACTGAGCCTGGGGCGGAGTCTCTAGTTTATCTGCAGGGCACAGCAGTTCACATCCTACATCTCAGATCAAGAGTGAGGCTGACAAGAGGCAGCAGCAGGACTCGCCGAGGACACGGGGACCCAAGGACAGAGGGGAGAGCCGCAGTCCTGGACGGAGGCACCACGTGCGTCCCGTGGAGCCGTTCCATGCACGTCCCACCGAATGCACGTCCCGCTGACTTACGAGTACTCCGGCCCCTCTGAGAGCATGTCACGTTATGTGATCCGCGTCTCATATCCACTTCACACTGTCTCTGGACTCCAGGTCAGACAGGTGAGCCTCTGCGGAGTCCGCGTTGGGGCAGGCAGGGCCCCTGCGCTCCCAGTGCGGGCGGCTCCCAAGGAAAGGTTCTCCCGTGGCGCTTGGAAACTGCTCCTTCATCAGGCCTGCTGGACTCAAAGCAGGACTACAGCAGCATGTGGCAGTTCCACTGAGGAAGGAAAGGAGAGACAGGCAGACTCTGCTCTCTGGAAATGTCCTCAAAGAGTAGAGCTCGTGTGCTCTGTGCGGTCCTCCGGGCGCATCGCCAGTGTTTGTGTTCGTGGTTCCCCACGCGGCCCGTGGCCCTGCGCAAGTCTTGTGACTTTGCACACGGTCAGATGAGTTCGAATACATCCCATGGTGGAGACGGTAACCAAGGTACTGTTCTGTTTCGGCATTTTGAAAAGGTTCACTGAACAGTCGATCTCAGTTGACTGTTGTCATTGTTGCCCCACCCCAAACTCAACCGTGCTTTGTTTCCAAAACAGACATTGTTTCTGTGAGCATATCCCACCTCCAAAGGAAGTGTAAGGTTGGATTTCCCCCTTTCAGTATGATCTTGTCCTGCAGGGGCAGCTCTGGCCTCCCGCCCCCGGGCCCCTCCCACCCTGCCCTGCCTGCCGCTCTGTTCCCACCCTGAGGGCTCGTGGCGCCCACTGGCTGTTGCTCCTAAGAGCTTGACTGATAAAAAATCTTCCCAAAGTGTCCTAACAGTCTCTTCAAACACGCGTTGCTCTGTAGAGTTGATTCCTTTCCTCTTCTGGGTTTTAGACAAATATAAACAAAACTCTGATCTATAAAATGCTATGCTGATGGAGCAGTGAGGGCTGGGAGCTTGATCAAATCCTGTTTTTTTCTTGACACAGACTGATTAAAAATTAAAAAGAAAATGACAATTTGAAGCGTGATTTTAATAGTGGAGTCGGGGTGCAGCCAGGTGGTGATGGATCTTGGGTGGTGGGACATGACATTGGATTAAGAGCAACAACACACATGGGCAGTGCTCACATGCCCGCAACCCAGCACACAGTTTGCCCTTGGGCAGTGGTGGTGTGTGGGTGGCGGGGCTCAGCAGGTACGGCCTCCTTTAGTGGTGGCCTCACCTGCCTCGGGCACAGCTTTGCACCACCAGCCACGTTCAAAGGAGTTGGCTTCACAGGGTGGGCTGGGTGGGAATGAGGGAGACCCGGACCACTGTGGGTGCCCCCACCAGGCAGCCAGGTCCCACCTGTTCTCTGTCCCCACACCTGTCCTCCCTCCTAAAGTGTCTCAGACACCACTGGGTAAGTGCCTCATGCCCTACTGGGCAGGCATGAGGGGCCACCTCACCTGCAGCCGCACGCTGTGGGGACACAGGCATCCTGCACGTCGAGGGACCAGTGTCAACACAGTCCCACGAAGGGAGGCTGGGAGCAAGTCAGTGCCGGCTTAAGCGCAGCCTCAGACAGCGTCCAGCCAAATCACCGGGCCTCCCTGGACCCCTGTGCTCTGTGGCCACGACAGAGTCTCACCTGCAAAGGCTGACAGAGATTACTTTCTCCTTATAGTGAGCTTATGTGTCAAGAGTCATGTTATTCCAAGCATGTCATGATCCTGATTTTCTTTTCTCTTAAAACCTCCCCGGAGGCTGAACAGAGCCGATCTCTCTCATGCCAGCTGGGCTGTGCTTTGTGTCGGTGCCCTGGGGTGGCTGTGGGGGCCGCGCCAGCACAGGCTCCTCTGCTCTGGGAGAGGGCGGCCCGCGGGAGCGCGGCCAACGCAGGGCTGCTCCCTGGAGTGTGGCTGAGGCTTTGCTCCGGGACCTGCAGAGCAGCGGTTCTCGGCTGACGTGCTCCCTGCCAGGAGCACAGCGGATGGCACAGGTGCCTTCACACCTTCCCCTCCATGTCACTTTTGTGAACTGCAAGGCTGTGATCTGCGGGGGATCTCAGAGCCTTTCCCACCTAAGGACACCCAGCTGCCTCCTGCTCTCGCAGCAGTGTTTGCCCTGCCCTGCAGCGGCCCAGGGCTGCCACTACAGAGGCCCGGACGCTTCTCCCACGCCTTTGTGCCTGTCCTCCGCGCCCAGCAAGCAGTGCCTTGCCCCTGACACCACCCAGTCCCTAGGAACTCCCCGCAGAGGGAGTGCAATGTCACGAGAGCACCTGGGCTTTGGATCGGGTATACCACCTGCCTTGAAAACCTACGTCTGCCACTGCTGGCTGTGTCTTTGGACAATTTCTTCGAGTAGAAGTTGGAGAGGTTTGTCCTGCCTTCCTCACTGGGCCGTGCTGAGGATGGCAGCCAACGTAAGGCAAGCAGCAGTGGAAGGGGCATTAGATGAGTGGCGGCTGCTGCCCACGCGCGTGCAGGGGCTGCCTGTAGGTGAGAAACTCGGTGTGCACAGACCCCACACCTGTGCCTGCCCCGGCCCCTTCCCCTTCAACTGCCTCTGCAGCTGAAGCTTGTCGGGGCCCCCCCTCGGGTCCCCTTCCCAGGAGGGCACCCCAGGCTTCTGCATGCCGAGCTTCCCATGCAAGGGGGAGTTCTCGACCCTGGGCCCATCAGGCATTTGCCCTCCTTCCCCACACAGCCCTTCCCAGAAGCTACAGAACGTTCTGCTCAGGGAGGGCCGGACAACCTCAGAAATTCCCTCAAGGACTGGCTCATGTCCACAGGCAACCCTGTACATTAACACTAGTCTGCTTCCCTAATTTTACTGTCTATTTTGGATTTAAAACATAAACGTTAATGCCCATGCATTTCCAAGGTGATAAAGGGGAAAGACCACAGTAAAGACGCTTTGCCTCGCAGGCAAATGGGGCCCGGGAGAGCAGCAGTCACCTGGCAGGGAGGGCGAGTCCCAAGCTCGGTGCTATTGAAATCATAAAACTTAACGCAGAGTGTGTGCACCCAAGCGGCCGTGTTAACTGCTGTGGCGGGCACCGCCATCTCCACGCTGGGCTAGAAACCAGTCCCTGCCTGCCTGCAATGCGTTCTTTCAAGCGGCCAAAGGAGTGGCCCAGCTACCTGAAGAGGAGCCACTAACCTGCCCTGCTCTAGAGCCTCATCCACGTGCTCAGAGCCATGTGGCCGCCCTCGCGCCCTGGCCCGCATGTTCTCCAAGGCCAGGGGAAGAGAAACCTAAACGCCGGCATATGCGTAGACCTGGTGGCCAGGGGAGTGGGACAGAGCCCGAGGAAGCCGAGACCAGTGTTTTCTGCTTGTAGCCTATAAGAAATACTTATGGACCCTGTTTCGGTCAATGGATATTTGTGGAGCATCTCTCTGTGCCAGGCCCTGTCTGTGCTCCCCGGCCCTGAGGGAAACCAGGACTGGCAAACAGGCATGCAACCCAGGGATGCAGGCCCCGCCTAGGCCTGGGCTCTCAGGGAGTGCAGCCCGGCTGGCGGCAGGCAGAGCAGGAGAGGAATGGGGTTCGAGAGAGCACAGCAGCCCAGAGACGAATGAGAGCTGGGTGGGCTGGGGAAGTGCAGCCGAGACAGGTGCTTGCGGGGCCTCGGGGCTGGGGGTGGCAAGAAGGCTGAGGATAGGGGAGGGTGGGGAGAGGGGAGAGAGATGAGACTCCAAGGGCCTGGGATGCCGTGGTAGGCTGGTGAGTGGTTCCCTCAGGGGACCGGGCAGCCGTTGGGAGGCTAGACGTTGGAAGCATAGATGCTGCTCATGTAAGACAGGACAAGTGCACAGGTTTGAGAGCTATTTTGCAGGCTGATTCCGTTTTGTGCCACATGGGCCTAGGAGTCAGGGACGTGAGCCCGAGTAACACTGCCACTGGGCTCTGGTGGACTCTCCCAGGCCCAGATGACTGCACGTTCCGCATTGGCAGCACGTCCCGGTCCTGCCGTAGGTGCGCACAGAGATCTCTGCACTTTCTTGACAGGCTTTATTTTTTAGAGTAGTTTTGGGTTTACAGAAAAATTGCTCAAAAGGTACAGCATTCCCATACCCTTTCTCTCTCACACACCCCCCACATGCTGCTTCTGTTTTAGTATCTTCCTTACGTGTGGTGCAGTTGTTAACAGTGATTAACCAATATTTGAAACAATATTAACTAAAGCCAATAGTTCACTGGGGTTTGCTCTTTGTGTTCTAAGTTCTGTGGGTTTTGACAAATGTGCACTGACATGTCACCACCATTACAGTGTCACATGGAATCGTTTTACTGCCCTAAAACTCCTCTGAGCTCCGCCCATCACCCCTCCCCCGCAACCTCTGGCAGCGGCTGATGCTGTTGCTGTCTGCAGCGTCCCAGCTTTTCCAGAATGCCACACGGTCGCAATCATGTACTAACAGTAGGGAGCTTTTCCAGACGGGCTTCTGTCACTCACCAATATCCACTTCAGTTTCCTCCATGTGGATTCCATATCTGTACCCTTGATAGGAAAATGTCGGGCGCCGGACGCGGCTGCTTGCCGCCTCCCCATCGCTCCACATCTCGGGGGCCAGCGCTGTGCGTGGCCACTTGGAGGGCACGCTGGGACCAGGCCCCGTGGCAGAGCCACCCGGGGCCCAGCAGCAGGGAGCTGCCCGGGCTCCTGCGTGCCACCGGCCAGCGTGCCGCTGCCTGTTTCCGGCCACGCTGCTTACGTGATCCTGATTCCGTAAATTTTGAATCCCACTGTTTTTGATTGGATGTTAAAGGTTGTTGTCGATTGGATGTTAAAGGTTGATGTCGATTGGATGTTAAAGCTTGTAGTTGATTGGACGCTTTCTGAGCCCTACCAACGGTATAAAAACAGGAGGAGCCCAAGGAAGGGGGGCAGAAGGGGCAAGAAGGGTAGGAAGGCCTGACTGTGGGACGAGAGCTGTAACACTAGGTGCGCTGATCCTGCTGTGGAAGAATAAAAGGCTGTTCTCCGATTCTTCTTCATGTGCCGCTTGGTTCTTTCCCTGGTCAGGAGCTGTAACACTAGCTGTACACGTTGCCTCAACACGCTGACAGGAAAAGGAAAGCAGCTGGTGTTCGGAACTGGAAACTGCGGAGCTTTCATAGACTTGACGGCTCCTGGGGCTGCAGAGGAATGGAGAGGCCAGCGGGTCTGTCCCCACCGGCCCTGCCTCCCCAGGCACCCGCTGAGTTTAACCAAGGCCGGGGACTTCCTCCGCCTTCTGTCCCTTTGGTCTTTGGTTGCCATCTGGTCACACAGCTCGCCCCACACAGCTCCGTCAGCCCCCAGGCTCCACGGCCCAGGGCTCCCATCTTCCCAGCACACTTTACAACTCTTCAAATGCTTTCCAAGCAGCATGTATGGGAAGCCATGAATTGTCCCTGTGCTTGATGCTGAGGCACCAGAATGAATAAGATGAGGCTTGAGCGGAGGCCGAGGTGCACACAGGAAGTGACAAACCAGGCGGAGGTGCAGGGACGGTGCCATGCCTGCTGTCTTGCAAGTACACAGCCGAGGCCACTCGCCCGCCCGGGAGGCAGGGCACGTTCCCCAGAGAAAGGGACAGTGGAGCGCCTTGCGCACTGAGATCGTCTCCTTTTTGTGCCCATATTAGCCACTCTTTCCCTACCTTGGAGTAAAATCTCAGCGCTAAATTGGACCCTAAATCTCAGGCCCCTGCTAGCTGTGAAACCGTCCCCTGCTTTAGTGCCTCAGTGGCAAAATATGGACAAATGATAGAGCCTGCTTCCTGGGGTGGTTGGGAGGCACGAAAGGAGAAAATTTGTGTGAAGTGATTAGGACCAGGCCCGGCCGGAGCACACAGGTGTCAGCGGTGAAGGTGTCAGCTGTGATCACTACTACGGCATCCAGACACTTCTGACTCCTCGCTGATATCCCAGGCAGTTAAAGTTTGCTTGGTGCCATTTGCTTTTCTTCACAAGTGTGTCGGGCGGCATTTCCCACTCTGCTCACTGAGCTACCCCCGCCTGCCACTGAGACTCCCT